CAGAGATGACGATGCAGCAGCTGCAGCTAGCTGTGGACCTGGCGCTGCGGCTAGCTAGCACGATACCCCCTCAGCAGCAGCAGCAGCAGCAGCAGCAGCAGCAGCAGCAGCAGCACGAGCAGCAGCAAGAGCAGATGCTGCTCCAACTACAGCAGCAGCAGATGCAGCTGCAGATGCAGCAGCAGAGGCAAAGGGAGGAAGAAGAAATGCTGCTAAGACAGCGACAGCAGCAGGAGCAGCAGCAACAGCAGCAGCAGCAGCAGCTGCAGCAGCAGCAGCAGCAGCAGCAGCAAGAGCAGCAGCAGCAAATTCCCCAGCTGACAAACGAAACGATCCTGGGTGTGCTGCAGGCTATCGCCTTGGCTCGGGGGTGGGACCCTCTGGAGCAGCAGCAGCAGCTGCTGCAGCAGGAACAGCAGCAGCAGCAGCAGCAGCAGCAGCAGGAGAGTCAGCAGCTGCCGCGTGCTGCAGCAGGAATGAGGCAAGCTGATGAAGCAGCAGCAACAGATGCAGCAGCAACAGCAGCAAGCATCAGCGAGCAGCTGCAACGCCTGACTCTGGATTTCATGCCCTCACGACCGCAGCAGCAGCAGCAGCAGCAGCAGCAACAGCAGCAGCCGCAGCAGCAGCAGCATGAGAAACCTCAGCAGCAAAACTCCTTGTTGAGGAGATCGGGCCTTCTCTTCCCATCCAGCAGACAGCAGCAGCCGCTGCAGCAGCTGCAGCAGCTGCAGCAGCTGCATCAACTGCAGCAGCAGCCTTTGCCGCAGCACCAGCTGCAGCAGCACCAGCAGCAGCAGCAGCAGCAGCAACAGCAGCAGCAGCGAAGCAACCGCCGCTTTGTCTCCTCTCATATGAGGGGCCCCGTTAGCGGCAACCAGTCGTACATACGGCAGCAGCCCGGGAAAGAAGCAGCAAGACAGCTGCAGCAGCAGCTGCAGCAGCAACTGCAGCAGCAGCTGCAGCAGCAGCTACAGCAGCAGCTGCAGCAACAACTGCAGCAGCAACTGCAGCAACAACTGCAGCAGCAACTGCAGCAGCAAATACACGACCATGTGGAGAACACGCAGCAGACTGAGTCCTTCATCAGGCCGCTTACCAGCAGCAGCAGCAGCAGCAGCAGCAGCAACAGCAGCAGCAGCAGCAACAGCAGCAGCAGCAACTTCTTAGGCTTTCAGGACATCGAAAGAAGTATATTGCTGCTGCAGCAGCACCAGCTGCAGCTGCAGCAACAAGAGCAGCAAAGACCCCCCGCTCCAGCAGCAACAGCAGCAGCAGCAACAGCAGCAGCAGCAGCAGCAGCAGCAGGTTTTTTACAAGCAGCAGAAGTGCAGCAGCTGCAGCGGGAGGACATCCGCTCGTGCATACCTAAAGACGGAGGAGAACACGAGCAGCAGCAGCAGCAGCAGCAGCAGCAGCAGCAGCAGCAGCAGAGGCCTACACAGTTGATTTCTATCAGCAGCAGCACAGCCCCCCCGCCATCTCGTGGGGGGCTGCAGCAGCAGTTTGGTTTTCGCAAGAGCAGCAGCAGCAGCAGCAGCAACAGCAGCAGCAGCAGCAACAGCAGCAGCAGCAACAGCAGCGGCGCTGCCCCTCAGTCTTACCAGCGGTCCTTCATAGGCACCACATTAAGCAGCAGCAGCAGCAGCAGCAGCAGCAACAGCAGCAGCAGCAACCGCACCACGTGCTCTGGTGTTATATACCAGCAGCAGCAGAAATTGCTGTTCTACCAGCAGCAGCAGCAGCAGCAGCAGCACCCGCACCCCCAGCAGCAGCCGCAGCAGCAGCAGCAGCAGCAGCAGCAGCTGGTGCTGCCCCGCAGTGCAGCAGAAGCAGCAGCAGCAGACCCCTCCCCCCAAATAACAACCTGCTCACAAACCCCCCTGACAGCACGCACGCTGTCTCCAGTGCAGCCGCAGCAGCAGCAGCAGCAGCAGCAGCAGCAGCAGCAGCAGGCACTGCAGCAGCCGCAGCAGCAGCAACAGGCAGGTTACCCTCTACCACTAGCTGCAGCACTCTTCGATGCAGATGGAGACAGCAGCAAAGACAAAGTCTCTAGACAGTCTGCTGCTGCAGCTGGCTGACACACTTACGTTGCTTCCCCGGTTGAACTGGCAGCACTAGCTGCAGCAGCAGCAGCAGCAGCAGCACCAGCAGCAGCAGCAGCAGCACAACCAGCACAGCAGCAGCAGCAGGAGCAGTGGCAGCAGCAGCAGCAGGAGTAGAAACGGCAGCAACGGCAGCAGCAGCAGCAGCAGCAGCAGCAGCAGCAGCAGAAGCAGCAGAAGCAGGGCAGAACCAAATGATACTAAAAGAAGATTTATTTCTTTATTTGATATTTATTAGTATTATAATAATTTATTATTTTCTTTTTTCTTTTTCTCTTTTTTTGTTTGTTGTTTATATACACCTCTGGGGTGTATAAGCAGCTGCTCCGCCTCCTCTCTGCGGCAGAGAAAACT